TTGGGCCATCAAGAGCTAAACTTCTTTACTATGAAAAAAGGAACTAAAGTTTTTTAGTAACGTGCACTTTATCAATAAAATCTTACCTTTATAAAAAAAAGTTTTTTATCGCGTGCTCAAGTTATCCCCAAGAGAGCTAGTTTTAAGTATCTCGGGTCTATTATCCAAGGTAACGGGGAGATTGACGAAAATATCGCACACCACGTCGGAGCGGGATGGATGAAATGGAGGCTCGCTTCCGGTGTTTTATGTGATAAGAATGTGCCGCCAAGACTTAAGGGTAAGTTTTATAGAGTGGTGGTTCGACCGACTATGCTATATGGGGCTGAGTATTGGCCAGTCAAGAACTAAGAATGTGCCGCCAAGACTTAAAGGGTAAGTTTTATAGAGTGGTGGTTCGACCGACTATGCTGTATGGGGCTGAGTATTGGCCAGTCAAGAACTACCACGTGCAGAAGATGAAAGTAGCATAGATGAGGATGTTGAGTTGGATGTGTGAGTACACCAGGAGAGATAAGATTAAGAATGAAGCTATCCGGGACAAAGTGGGAGTAGCCTCCGTGGAGGACAAGATGCGGGAGCCGAGGCTGAGATGGTTCGGACATGTTAAGAGGAGAAATATTGATACTCCTATTAGGAGGTGTGAGAGGTTGGCCATGGCGAGTTTGAGTAGAGGTCAAGGTAGGCCTAAGGCATAAGAAATACTGGGGAGAGGTGATTAGACAGGACATGACGCTGCTTCAGCTCAATCAGGACATGACCCTTGATAGGAGGGTGTGGAGGTCGGGGATTAGGGTAGAAGGTTAGCGGGTAGTTTCTTAGTTGCTCACCGATAGTCTTAGTAGCACGCATGTCCTTTCATATTCTTAGATTTTTATTGCGTTATGTGGTTTTGTTCGCCTAAGGTATTGTATTCCATGTTGCTATTATTTGGTACTACTTATCCTTTATCTCCCTCTTTTTCTTCTCTCTTCCTTTCTTGCTTTTCTTCTTCTTCTTCTTCTTCTTCTTCTTCTTCTTCTCACCCTTTCCGAGCTGAGGATCTATTAGAAATAACCTCTCTACCTGCATTAGGTAGGGGTAAGGTCTGCGTACAGACTATCCTCCCCAGACCCCACTTGTTGGGAACATACCGGTTTTTTTTTTTTTTTTTTTGTTGTTGTTGTTGTTGTTAGTAGCGTGCTATGGCATCTGATTATTTAATATCATTGGAGGTATGTAGCTTAAGCTGATGGACCGAAATACTGAATTTTTGTGATGCAGTGGAATGGAAATGACTTGGTCATCAACTGGAAGCCCTGCTGAAACACTTCCCTCCATATTGGAAATGAGCCCATTGTTTTTAAACCCAATGTTGCTTATATGAATATAAAAGGAACTTAAGATACCTTGATCGATACTTATTTTAAAAAAAAAACGATCATAGCATGTCATTGAAATCTACTTGCTCTCAATCTATTTCTTTTTTGAGGAATTCTAAGAACCGTGTGCATCTTAAGTATTATCTTCCAATGACTTAGATATAGTTGCTGCTTGTTGGGTATATGTTTAGTATTTGATTGTTTTGAGAACTTAGATGTGCCTTGAGTAACTAAAATTACATAGCTTCTTCTTCTCAAATGTCTGTAACCTTAATATTTTGGTAATTCCAAGTCTATCTATTGTTGAGTCCACGAACAAAGTAGGATATTCACTTAGGCAGGTGAAAATACCATGTAGCTAGTGAAAACTTTGGGACTTTGCTATTGCCTATCTCAGAGTATGGGCCTTATTTGCTACCACTTTCACTACTGCACTGCTACCTCACATGAAATAAGCTGCGGGAAAGTTGTATATTAATTGTTCTGAATTCCGATAGCTCTTTCTCGACCTTTATCCCTGGTCTCTAAGTTTTCTCTTTGCCTCTTTTTTCTTTCTGAAGTATTCTTTTGCTCAAATTCTTGGAATTGATTTAGCAAATCAGTTCCATGAGGAGAACCAACAAACTAATTGACTGAATGCAAGTTATTCAGCTTGCAAACACATCCTGAGTTTAAAAACCATAGCTAGGATTGGCCTCTGGAAAATATATCAGGTACTCCTACCATCTTAAGGCTCTCTTGATCATGGTGGATGGTTAGGACTAATGGGTGATTTCCATAGAAGTTAGTCTTGCATATAATTTTCTTGGAGTACAAGAGTGACTAAAGAAAGAAGGAAGCTTATGTGATACGGGTTATCTGAGATCTCAGTCATGAGTATTAGTGTTAATTAGCATTTTCATGACGTTGAAGGGTGGAGATCTTGCATTTATCTGGTACTACCTTGTATCTTGACCATCTATTTGTATTTAAAATGTTCTAACAGCTATATTTTGAGAAGAGAGGTTGCTCAAGTNTAGAATCAAGTATTTGATTGGAAGCATATAAAGTAAGGTGGCCATTCTTCCACTTGAGGTACATGGCCATGTGGTTGAAATAAAACACAGTGGAGGTAAAAATGTTTTTTTTTTGCCTTTTAGTTGGTGTCCTCAATGTAATGACTATCGACCGTCATGTCAAAGAAGTATCTTGTCTTATATAATTTTGCTATAGATATAGAAACCAACGGCAAATTGGACATTTATTGTAAATTTTGTTTTCTTATGTTTAGAATTGTTACTTTCTTCTTCCATGTTTTCCGTTTCTGCAGGCTGCAAACATTGTTGCAGCAAACATTCAGCCTCTACAGAATCTTGCTGTACTTGTGAGTTTAAGTGATCATTCTGTTCGCTGGTCATATGAGGTCATTTCATATGTTTACAAATTCATATGATTTACTTTCTTTTTTTTTATGGCCTTTCCATTTGCAGAAGTACATCCAGGAAAAAGTTGGCCCAAATGAGGCAACCCCTTGGGTTCAAAATCATATACGAAAAGGATTTGAAGGTAATATTGTGCTTAATGCCTTTGTGACATAATATGAATCAATTGTAACTTAATTTCTGTCCCATAGTTTTTGTTTATGATAAGTATTTTTGTCCCATAATTTGAATCTGAATTCACAATATCTCATAGGACTAGATTCGGATACCATCTCTGCCTGCCTCTCCTTGCAGAAATTGAATGACATACCATTTCCTTTTTACCTGATATTTTTGGGTGTAGATACAAGATTAAAAGGGAGGACACCAGAAATTCTTTGAAAATTAGATATTGAGATGACCTACGGTCATGTAAATTGGAGTTCTTCCCCTTATCAAAAAAATTGGGAGTTCTTGCTTAAAATATAGAAGGATATGGTTTTGTTAGAACAAGGATTTATCTCAGTTGGTCTAGAAGTTTTCTTAACAGAGATTTGCTTTTGCAGCACTTGAAAAGCTACTTAAAGATTATGCTGGAAAGTATGCGACAGGAGATGAAGTTTACATGGTTTGTTTCTTTCCATTCCATATGTTGCTGCTTGCATATACACAAACAGCACTATGTCTTGATATTTGCAACTCACTGTGGCACTTCTAAGTCTTTTACCCCATAGGTCTCATATGTTTTCTTAGTTTGGTCAAAGAAGGTAAAGAGAAAGTACGCCAGAAGTATACATCCACAACACAAGTGTATTGATGAAATAGTGGTGACTTGTAAAATAGCAAAGCGCGAATTAGTTCACTCATATTACCTCTTAACGGACTGAAAAGATGGGACACTTTTATGCCATATAGTATCCAATTCAGATGCTTAACTTGTTTTGCAACTTGCAGGCCGACTTGTTTCTGGCACCTCAGATCCATGCAGCAATCAAGCGCTTTGAAGTTGACATGGTAGTGCCTTTATAGACATCCCATAGAATTTTATATGGTGTCGTGTGCAATTCTCAGATAATTAGCACCTCATCTCGTGAATTGTTTGTTAGTGGCATACATAATGAGCACCTAAAAAAGGAGTTTTGTCTTTCTAGAGATAGTGTTGCAAAACTAGCTTTCTTGATCAGATGAAAGGGTACTCATTTGCTGCTTTTTATTTGTCATGGTAGCCTTAATTAATTGTTCCCTGTTAGTTTACCTTACTGTGAATTAGTGTCTTGCCATTTCCATTATTTTCTAACTTTTATTCTAGTCTGTTCCTTCTTTTAGTCGATCCGCAGTTCCGCACTTCCAAGAAATAATTTTTCTCTCAAAAAAGCTAAATGGTATATTCATTTCAGTATTTCACTTGATTTACCTTAGTCGTTGGTGGAACTTTCATTGTTCTTAGGTGATCTTATACGTATGCATCTCTTCTCTTTAACGAATGTTCTCTTCCTAAAAGTTGTCAATGCAATGTGTAGAATCAATTCCCCACTCTGTTGAGGGTATTTGAGGCTTACCAAGAGCTGCCTGCTTTCCAGGATGCTATGCCAGAAAAGCAGCCTGATGCCACTGCCTGAGGCAAGAATCTCAGGTTGTTAATTACTTTGGAGTTAAAGAATACTTACTTTGTTCATTTATTTTTTTGCCTTAAATGGTCATACTTGTGCACTCAATATGGTTAGTATTTTAATGAGCAGGCTATCCATCTCCTTGAAAGTTCCCTTCTCAAACCGTTGACATACCTGCTGGACTTGCATTTCGGAGAATTGTTAGCTTTTTCTATTTCTAAAGGCATTATGACAAGGATGAGGATGGCGCCTGGTTCTTTCAGGCTAGATAAGAAAACTGGCGTGTTAATCCTTGCATGCTTGGCACCTGTGCTTCTAGTAATTTTTCCTTTTCTTCTGTAAACTGCTTTACTATCAATAAAAGTATGTATAGCTGTGTAAGAGAATACTGAAGTTAAGACAGTGAAATGGTATTGTACCTATGTTAAGAAGCCTAGGATGAACATTCATCCATCTATGTTGTGATTTGTGAGTTGTGAGTTATGAGTTGTGACCTACAATAAAGTTGCCTGCATGTTGAAAAGAGGACGTGTCTTTGCTTTTTTGTTTGGTTGAACAGAGTATTTATCAGGTCTGACTTCTGAATTAGACCTCAACATTTCGTTCTAAAGAAGGGAAAGGAAATTACATGAACAAAATGAAGAAGCAAAATTCACCATTAATCGCTTCAACGTTTTCCTTCGAAAGAAGGGAAAGGAAATTACATGAACAAATAAAAAGCAAATTCAGCATTAATCATGCGCACTCTAAATTAGGACTCAACATTTCCTTATAACCTACTCGCCAAGCTTTTCTGCCGGGGTTATCTTCAACTTCTTGCATTTGCCACTTCTTTTCGGTCTCATATTCGCGGCTGTAATAAGTTTATAGTCAGAGTGAGGCATCTCACTGACCTTACCAAACCATTCCTCATAAAAATGCCATACCTCTGACCTACTCAGGAGAATAACCAATAGCAAAACTTCAGACTTCAGCAAGCTCACAAAAATTAATAACTTGGAAACAGGAAAAAGGGTGCGGCAGCCTACCAATATGCCAAGAACTGAAACGGTGCATACTTTGCATAAATGTTTTCAACATCCTTTTGAACTTTCTGAATACTAGAGGTTCTTGCATGAACCTGGAATTTTCAAAACAGCAAAGCTGACTTAGATGCCTAATAATAAATTGATCCATGAGCATTTCATCATATGAACCGTTGTATATTGGCACATGCAATAGACCTGCCAAGGCAAATTTGTCGAGATAAATTACCTGTTTTAGATGCCTAATTGTTTCTGAATCAGTAGGAATAACATGGTAATAACCCAAGCACATCAGTACATTAGCACAAGTAAAAGGGCCAAATCCATCTAATTCTCTCAGCTGCTCAGCCATTTTATCATAGTTTGACAAGCTTGGGTTGCTATAAGCTTCTTCAAGTTCTTTCAGCTGAATCCTGCCTTCAACTATGCCCTTAGCAAGCTTTATAATGCGCCCAGCTCTATACCCAAGACCACAACGCTTTGCTAGAAAACTCTCATCAAGGCCTGCCAATTCTTTCGGGCTAGGGAAATTCCTAATCTGATTAAAAGAGCTCAGCTCTCTATCTTCTGAAGGATCAGGATTGAATGGTGCACTTATACTAACTTCACAAACTTCAGTTGTAGCCTGAAAAGAATCAGTTATTTCGAGAACATCTTTACCATCTGAAAATGCAGGTTTCACACTTACATCCGCTTTCCCTTCATCCACGATTTCTTCGACTTCTGTAAGCCTCTCCAATAAATTTCTGCAACATCCATAAACTCCAGCTCTTTTCCTTGATTCTTTTCCTGCTGGTGTTTTTGGACTGAAATGCTCAGATTCGGCAGTGACACCCTTCAATTGATTCAGATTATCAGCAGCAGAAAGCGACACAGCTGATGATGGACAGTTTAGCTCCAATTGAAGCTCACATAATGCTTCAGCCATGCTCAATGTCCTTGACCACCTACCCAGGGGTAGCAAATACAAAATGTAACTGAGATAATCGGCAAAGGCTACAGATTTATGAATATTTATTTTCGTTTATCCAGACTTCAATTTCACTTCTCATTACAGGTAGCAAGCAACTTCATTTACAAAATAGACATATTTATTAGCTTACTAACTTTATAATTGGCTTTGCTTCAATACAGGAAATGAGATCAGAAACACCTAACAAAAGTTTTGTTGCCCTTATTACCAATCAGTGCTATTAAATAGAGTTAACTACATCTGATAGTGTAATAATTTTTTACAGCTCAGTGCATTCAACGCTATTCAGAGAGCTTATGTATACTACACAGTCTCTATTCAGTGAGCTTATATATACTACACAGTGTGATGACTCGCCATGTCATCATGCCACATAAGTGCCATTTGGCATATATTAATGCCATGTGAAAGCTTACATAGGAGGAATGCTTGCATTTGTGAGAAGATTCTAGAGAAGTATGGACATTTCTTTTGGAAGATCCTAGATGTTTATGGATTTGCTAGGAAAGTCCTTGGAATCTTCTAGGCTTGTAGAGAATTCTAGAGAAAGCCCTTATCTTGTAAATATTAAGGACTTGTGTAACAATTAATATTTGCACACTAGCCCCTAGGAGACTAGTATATAAAGGAGGCCATTCATTTGTAATTCATCAAGAAAACAATTCAAGTTCTCTCTAATATAAAGCTTCCATTAACAATTCTCTTGTGTTCTTTCTACCATTCTCTTAGCGATCTTGAGTGTAGTAAGGCTAACTTGGCATAACAAGAACGTGAGCAAATTGTCAAGTGCCGCACGTGTACTTAGTTAATTACTAAGGACGTGACAACGTGGTATCAGAGCAAAGGTTGCGACTAAGAAAAATGGCGAACGACGGAGAAATTAACGCTGCCAACACTCAAACCAACGTCATCCAGGATGCTGCTGGCAAGAGCGGCCGTAACAAAAAGAGAAATGCCACCAACA